GGGGGGGAGAGCAGGAGTAGATACAGGAGGTCATGGATGTTGTGTGACATGGGCCAGGGGTGTCCTGACCAAGAAAGAGTTTTACAAGTGGTGGGTTTTTTGAAGTGCCGCAGCACTTTGGACCCCAGCACTCCAGAGGCAGAGGCAGGTGAATCTCTGAGTTCAAGGCCAGCTTCATCTCCATAGTGAGGCCCAGGCCAGCAAAAGCTAGCAAGTACACAGCGAGACCTCGTCTCAAAAGAAAAAAATCAGGTTGCCAGAGGGAGCCAGCAGGACTTGGTGAGAAGGACCTAGAAAAAGGGAGGAGAAAGAAGAGCCACACCTGCTCCCTGCAGCTTCACAATCATCAGATGGCGGTGTCTGAGAACACACAGAGCAGTCCCCGCCAATGTGCCTGTCAGTTAGCAAGGACCTCTTCAGCCTTCCTGCCTGCGGTCCCACACCCTGGGAGGGAGTAGCTGGTTCAGCCCCTGTGCGCCCTGCAGGTTCGCTGGTTTGAGCAGCAGACTTTGAGGCGGCGGGTGAAGCGCTCCCTGGTGGTGCCCTCAGACCCCTGGTTTTCCAAGCAGTGGTACATGGTGAGCACTTGTACAGGGAGGACAAGGGGGACCATCCTGAGCCCCTCTGACCCCAGGTTCCTCCTTGCTTCTCATAGAACAAGGAGATACAACAAGATCTAAACATCCTGAAGGTTTGGAACCAGGGACTGACCGGCCGGGGAGTGGTGATCTCCATCTTAGATGACGGCATTGAGAAGGACCACCCGGACCTCTGGGCTAACTATGTGAGTTGCCCTGGGATCAGAACAGCAGGGCAGGTCCCCTGGCCACAGCTGGCCTCATTATTCCCCTGCCTGCCCTCCAGGACCCTCTGGCCAGCTACGACTTCAATGACTATGATCCAGATCCCCAGCCTCGCTACACACCCAATGACGAGAACCGGTGAGCTAGACACCCTGGACCAGGCGTGTCTGGGGCCACAGGAGTGCCAAGGTGGCATGGGGTAAATGTCTACTGTCCTCCTTGCTCTTGAAGCAGGCATGGAACCCGCTGCGCGGGGGAGGTGTCTGCCACAGCTAACAACGGTTTCTGTGGTGCTGGTGTGGCCTTCAATGCCAGAATTGGAGGTACCAGGGGTGAAGGCTGGGGGTGAGGTGTCAGTTTAAGCTTGACCAGTGCAGGGACTCTCGTTCCTGTCACTGATCGCTGAGCAGTGCCTAGGCTGAGGGTGGCAGGGAGGTGGCCTGGTAGGGCAACCAGAGTTGGTGCTGGCGCAAAGCCCACGCCCACCCGCGCAGGCGTGCGCATGTTGGATGGAGCCATCACTGACATCGTGGAGGCTCAGTCCCTCAGCCTGCAGCCGCAACACATCCACATCTATAGCGCCAGCTGGGGCCCGGATGATGATGGCCGCACGGTGGACGGACCCGGCCTCCTCACGCGGGAGGCCTTCAGGCGTGGTGTAACCAAGGTGCACAGGAACCACACCCTGGGAGAAGGGGGCGGGTCCCGGGGGTTGGAGGGCTGACTCTGTTCTCACGGGTCACTTCCCACCCAGG